TGGGGACAAAAAGTGAATTACTTACTTGATATAGAAGTATAAAGAGCAAAAGACTTAAGACTTGTCATTTCCTTTTGCCGAGTTTCTTCCACACTACTATGAAAAATGTGTTCCCAGGCATAGAGCTTAAGTAGTTTTATGCCTCGAAGCATTTCATTTGTTTTCTTCAATCTCTCATTGGAATATTCCTGGATCATTGGCATAAAAAATAATTTTGTATTATAGTGAGATCATAAGATATAGCATTATATAACAATCCATGGTAATGCAAATTGGTTACAAAAAGACCCTGTGCTTCAATTTTTTATTTAAATACTTCTTCCCGTCTTATTTATTTATAATATTTCTAGCCCACTGTGATCAAAAGAGATTCTTGATAGTTACATATAATTATACAGATTAAAATACATACAATAGGAGTAAATCAACAACAAAAGCAGTATGAATAAACCCATTCAACATAAACTAGAAATAAAATAAAAAAAACAAAGATGGCAATGTTCACATCTGGGGAAAGTTCTCCAAACAATTCAGTCTTTAAGAATTTCTAAAATACCAGTGAAGAGGGAGCCAGTTTGATCAGCACTGCTATGAAGAAGCGCTGCTATGAAGTCTCTCTGGTGGATCTAACTGATACTGACAGGAATATGCAATCTGAAGGGACTATAATGCTAAGGTATAATGGGCTTTGTATGTCAATGCTAACACCTTATATTACATCTGGAAACTAAGCATTAATTAATTCTGGGTCTGGAAAACTGTCTTAGTATGGGAATCCAAAATAAAGTGTTTTACTACATCTGTAGCTCCCAAATACTCTTTAAAAGCACTTCCAAAAGGATCAAAAGTTAGATGTTAAATATAACCAAGACCAATTGTCATTAAACTGATTACATGGCATATCTGCTCAGCTTTGTATTGGTTTAGTTGTGTGGAATACAGATATTTATTTCTTTAACAGAACCAGGTTTTTGTTTCAGAAAAATGAAAAGCAAAACTGTGCCATTCCTCTCTTTTTTTTCAATTTGCTGGGTAGTTATTTTGAAACTATAAGTAGATTAAACACTATAAAAATACAATACAATGGGGAATTTGTCTCACTACACCTAACAGAACTCACTTTTGATTAGATGCAATATGAACAAATTATACCAAGGACACTCTCAAAGATCTGAGATTACAAGTTTATACTCTGGAATTGTGAAATTGGGTGGGTATACTAATCTTGGCAGAACTTACCAATGTGCTTCTTTGAGCTTGTGAAAGTTTTGTGGCTACAAAGTATTGGACAGGGGCCAGCACTATGATTACAGCTGCTCCAATTAAGGCACTGATTCCAAGCAGGTAGTAGAGCAGAACAATTCCAACAATAATCTGCAATGATGGAAAGAGAAGGGATGTTGATTCATGCAATCAATGCAATTCCAAAACTGGATGGTAAGGGCATTTAGGAAAATAGGAGGATTCTAGACACGTCATAAATTGTCATTTTTGGAAGATATGTAGGATGTCTTCCAAAAAAGGAAAGCACCTCAGGATAACTACAAAATTAGAGAAAAAAAGGTATAAAGATTCAAGAAACTTAGATCTTATGATCCCATGGGACAGTAGAAGGTAAACATTTTACATTGACGTCTGTTCCCTTGGGTTAATGTTAATTAATAATCCATTCATTTTCTTACCTGTACAGGCATAGCCCAGAGATTAGGACAAAGGAAGAAGAACCACATTAGCTGGTTTGTGTCTATTGCAACCAGGTTACAGATCTGACCTGAGGTCATTTCCCCCATGGACATGTTTGAGGTTGATAGTCTCATGATCTTATTATAAATTTTTGTCTAGAATGAAAATGTTCAGTTTTAATTGAAAGAGAAAAAGCAAACTTCCACATTGATAATACTTTGTTTTATATTGATAACATCTATAAGCAATCACGATGATAGCAAAACATTAGGATTATAAGAATATTGAGAATGCTGAAATTACATACTAGCATCAGGACATCTAATACAAATAGATATATTGCAGCATTTTTATATAATCTATCTTATCTCATGCTACAAGAGAGTCTATGGATATTTTCAGTCATCCAGGTCATGGTTGTCCCAAGGGTGCTTTTTTTAAAGAGGCAACTGGACTTTTTTTTGTTTTTCCTTGAATACGGTTCACTTCTCATCCAAGAAGCTTCTTCAAAAAAACAAAGAAAGTCCTCTTGCCTCTTGAAAAAAGTACTGTTGGGTCATGCTCTGAGATTTATATAATAAAATGAGATCTATCTATTGTCAAAATCTTTTTTCAAAAGGTTGGGGTATGTATTCCCAGGAAAATATTTTTGTTAATAAATATTTCAAATTAAATAGGACTTGAATTTTGATACAAATAGATGGCTAAAAACCCAACAGGTTTATGAAGAGAAATATGTGAATATCACTCCTAGACCAATTTCCATTTTAAGCAGAACTCCTATGTTAACATCAATCAGTTATTATAAAAAGAT